CCTCGACAGCGGTCCGGAAATATCGAAGCGCTAGATGGATCGCCCGGAGCTCCAGCCAGTTGATGTTGTGTCGGAGCTCCTGCCAGGACCACCGGCCCTGTGCCAACTGGGACCCCAGGGTCGCCCCCCCAGCCGAACAGGCTGGCATCCGTGGTGAGAACGAGGCACTCCTGGTGCCCGAACTTGCACCCCTTGAGCAAGGCTGGGGACAGCCACCACTTGAGGGAAATCTATAGCTGAGGGGTGGCCTCGACCTTGGCTGGGGAGCTGCTGGTGTTGGCTGTCTGGAACGGTAGGAGTCACCACTGCAGAGTCCTGGCGTGCAACTGTGCCCACGGTACTACCTCGATGCAGGATATGAGTTTCCCCAACAAGCTGGATAGAAAGGCTATGGGAACATAATGGTCCCTACGGACCTGCTTAATCATCTTAAGCAAACTGACTTGCGGTCTGGGGAGAGAAAAACTTTTCCTGCATGGGAGTCTATGACCACCACTAAATGGAGAATTCTAGTTGATGGGGTGAGGGAACTCTTTTCAAAGTTGTCGGAGAACCCCAGCTCCTGAAGGGTGTCCACGACCTGCCAGAGGTCTGCCCCCGTCTGACCCAAGAGTGCCCCCTGGACAAGGATGTCATCCAGGTAGCAGTGTAGCCTAATGGGAAAGCCCCTTGGGTAGGCTGCCACCATCACCAGTACTTGGTGAATGACCTAGGTGCAGAGGATAACCCAAAGGGAAGGGCCCTGTATTGGAAGGCCCAGGTAGGAGAACCACAGGTACTGCCTCTGGCGCAGGAGGATGGGAATATGGAGATAAGCCTCCGTGAGATCTATAGAAGCCATGTAATCCCCCTCCCGTATACCTGCTAGAATGGATTTAAGCGAGGACATCTTGAACCTGCGGTATACAGGATGTTAGTTCAAGAGCTTCAAGTTGAGAATAGCTCTCCAACCTCCTGAAGCTTTCGGCATGAGGAACAGATTTGAGTATAACTCATGGCCCACCTGGTCCGAGGGGACCGGTTCTATCGTGGCGATGTCAAGCAGATGGGTCCACGGCTGGTAACTGTAATGCTTGGGAAAAATCTGGCTCAATGTTATAAAAACATCTGTTGTTAGTGCCAGGGTTTGGGAAGGCAGTGGGCTTTTCACATTGCTTCTTGACAACTTCCAGAAAGCGGTGAGGGGCAGGAATCTCCTCCTTCTTTTTGCTGCACGCCCTTCCTTAGCCCCCTCCCTAGCTCCATCTATCCCCCCTCCTCTTCTACCTGTGCAGTAGCATGCGCTTTGCATAGAGACTGGAATAAATTTGGGGGCAATAGTCCAGTAAATGCCGGAGTTTCTGGCTTGTCATCCTCCTCATCCTCAGACAGGTCAGGATCTCTCTAGGGTCTGTCTCCTGTTACTGAACCTTCACTAATGAGGGAAGGAGAGGTAGGGCGGCTCATGGGATTGGATGGAGGCCGAGCTTGGGATAAGCTGGCCCTAGGATTCCCACCTTGATCTGGTGATAAGGACTGAGCAGTCTGCTGCTGCAATCCATGTGCAATTCCAGAGGCAATGAGATTTTGCAGTCCCCTTGGTAGATCATATTTGATATGAGATATTTGTTAAGTGAGTTTTGCCTCATTTTTACAACCTTTCTTGCAGTCTTTACATGAATCACTGTAGTTGTTAAGTTAGTAACACAGTTATTAAATAAACCTGGCTTCCCCATTGACTTTGCTTGTCAGAAGGTCGCAAAAGGTGATCTCATGACCTGCGACACTGCAGCCTTCGAAAATATAAGTCAGTTGGCAAGCACCTGAATTTTGATCATGTGATGATGGGGAAACTGCGACAGTCGTAAGTGTGGAAAAGTGTAAAAATATTCAGTGCCATTGTAACTTTGAACAGTCAGTAAATGAACTGTTGTAAGTCAAAGATTACCGCTAGTTGTACAATAGCTGCATTGGGTGTGATTGCAAAGTAACCCACTTCTAAGTCCTTTCCAAATCTTGATGTAGTATTTCAGGACTTGGAGCTGATGAAAACCTGGTTATCTCAGGAGAAAGAGAAAAGGCAGATTGTGCCAATTTCAACAGTCAAGCAAGATCAGATATAATGAGAATAGTATCTTTACTGCGGACAAAAATCAACCACAATACATGAGTATATTATACTCCAGTGCAAAGAAGTCAGAGATCTAGCTAGCTATTCACCAAATTTAAACTCTCGGATTCTTTTTCTACCTTTTTAAAGTGGCAAGGTGCTTGATGGCTTGAAAAGATGGATGAGATATAAGAGCCGATCTCTACCCCATAAACCACTGGTTTCTGCCTCTGCAGCCTCTGCTCTTATACCACCTTATACCATTTTGGCTAGAACTGCCGAAAAATGAATTTAAATTTCTGTGGGGTTGTCCACATTACCACTGCGATACATGTGAAAAACACTGGGATCTTGGTTGATCAAAATTTTTCTAAACTATAGTTTGCTACTCTTGCCTTCACTCTGAAACTCCTAGTCTAGTTAAATTGTGTCTGGGAGTCTTCTGCCAAATCTATCTGAACGCTGAATTAAGGATTAAGTGTCTGGAGACCTGAGATTTACTGCTAAGCCTGATAGCTTGGACTCATTTGAAAGAATTCTATAACAGTACTGTGGTCACAAAAAGCAAATACATATATAGGAATGATTAATAATGCAGGTTATCTTGAAGCAAACTGAGGATGCATAGGCTTTAACTTGAATTTAGTGCCATTGCTAGATTTTTTTTTAATACAATCACTTTCTCTTATTCTGTGTTCTTCCTGGTCAACTTTTTAACTGCTACTCAACCTATTTCAATCTCAAACCTTCATCCAGGAGTGACTCCTGAGTTGCCAGTGTGCAGTAGGTAAATGAATTAACTTACAATATATCCTGGTGCATAGGCCCTCTCAATCTTTTGAAATTCAGCATAGACTTTCATTATTCAAGGAATGCTATCTGTACTAGCAACCTCACAGCTTTTCTTTATTTATGTGATGAAGACCAATTAGGGGAAAACAATTGAAAGATGAAACTATTTTAGAATCAAGATAGGTGTGTTGGTGTGTGTGTGTGTGTTTTCCTCATTACTCATCCCCATTTGAGTAATAAGTCCTGACTTAAGCCTACTTCCAGGCCATTAATTACCAAACATTAACCATGTTTCTGCTTCTGTTTACTCAGTTGGAGACGAGTGTAATGTCATCTTGGGAAAAAATTACGAAGATTCAAGTTAATTGGGGCAGAAGCAACATTTGTACTATAAATGATCCTGCTGTTTTCCCATATAGCTTATAAGAAGAAGACATGATGAGATTTACAAGTGGGCAAAACATCGGTTTATATATAATTGATTTTATCTGTACCAAAGTTTTTAGGCTGGTAGATTTTAAAATAGCAGCTCAGGATGCAATATAGGAAGACTGAAAACAAAGCTAGAAGAAATGATAGGCTTGTTTGTTCCTTGATTAGCATAAACCACTATAATTTCTGCATTTCTTGGGTGGAGTCTAAGATTTACTTTTGGGAAGTGGGATTGGAGACTAAGAAATGAATAATTCTTTCTGAGTATATGAATTCCTTTCTCTTGAATGTCCACACACGGGGTCTAACCTACAATGTGGTTTATCTGATTGGCTTGGCATTTTGAATGCAAAGACATAATTTAAGACTTAGTTCTCTGTCTGATCACAGACACTTGTAGTTTATTCAGATTGTGGTTTAATGTTTAAAGAGAGAGAATGGGTCCCAAGCTTTTATTCTCTTGGCTTCCTTCCCTTTGCTCCTGCTAAGTCATCAGTCATATTTCCTAGAAACTCCCTTCCTTTCTAACTTAATTGACTGTCCTGTATGTTCTTGATGTGTCTTCTTCCCGTATAGCTGTTGGCAGGAAGAGTCTGGGGCTTTCCTATTGCTGAATTAAATTGCTATTCACTCATTTTTGAATTGGCAGAAAACAACTAGCAAACAAATTTGCTGCCCTATTGTTGATCCTTATCTATGTAGCATTTATTACTTCTACTTTTGACTTGCAACCAAAATAACTAATAGAAGTCTTTCCAGTTGGGCTGGCACTTGATTCTGAAATGAGGTACTTCAGGCAGATCAGTGGAGTGAAAACAGAATTTTGAATTTGTAAAAGTTAAGTAGGGAGTAGAAGAGGTTGATGATAGAAGCTTAGTCAGCCAGATTGGAATACAGATGTTCTGGTTACTGATTTGTTTAGCTTGTCATGGAAAGAACATCCAGGTTTGAAGCAGTGTCTGATGAATTCCATCCTTAAGAGGCTTTGAACAATCAATCATTCCCTAGGAGATCATGTGATCAGTAAGAAACTTTGGAAACATTAATACTTCCATATTCCATCATCACTTCTAGACTATTGTTTCCTACCCTGGCATCTCTCTTTTTGTATAGTGTTCCATGCACAAATCCCCCAATATCACCACTGCTAAGAATCAGGGGAATTGAAATTCGCACATCTGGAAGATGCCAAGTTTTAGAAAATGTTTAGACTGACTGACTCTCTCTCTGTATGTATGCATGTATGTATGTATGCATGTATGCTTCAGTGGTGGGTTCCGGATTCCGTTCCAACTGATATGGTTGGAATGGCTCCAGTGGCATCTACATACATGCACGCGCGCACACACGCGTGCAAGCGTTGTAGCATCAAATGACGCTTTCACAAGCCTCCGCAATGCTCCAGCTGCTCAGCAGAGCGTCGCGCAGGTGCTGTATGTGCCGTGCGTGTAAGTGCCAAAAGCTTAAAGCACAGATAAGGCGGGTGGGTGGGTGGGCCCTCCGGAGCACCGTACCAGAACGGTACCCGGTGCTCCGGGCAGGATCCGGTACACCCATACCGGGGCGTATCTCCTGCAACCCACCACTGGCATGAATGCATGTTAGGGTTGCACTGAATAAAACAGTAACATTTTTCATATTAAAAAAAGTAACCATTTCACACATTCTGCCTTTCGTTCTTTTTCAGAACAATGATTCCTGTCACTGAATTCCGCCAATTCTCTGAGCAGCAGCCAGCCTTCCGTGTTTTGAAGCCATGGTGGGATGTATTTACAGACTACCTTTCTGTTGCCATGTTGATGGTTGGTGTGTTTGGTTGCACATTACAGGTAAATAAATAGGACTCCAAGTTAAAAATGAATGATACCATAGAAGCAGGACTGTGATTTGTCTCAGATTTTAAATGCTGTTTTTTTTTTAAAAAAAAAATTTAAATCATGGATATTAGAGTTTTTTGTTCATCTGCTCAAGTAACATAGCAGACCAATTTGCAATAGTGTCATTCAATTTTTGGAGTAGTGGGCTCTAGAATAACATGTGGTCATTTAAGTAATATGATATAGGAGAAAAGCAAGCAGAGCTGGTGGGTGGAGTTAAACATGTCATCAGTTTAGAATCTTTAATTCTTATGTAGGATCAATTTAGTGCTGACCATTAGTTGACTTAGATTCTTGTGCATAGGTTTGTATAAATCTATGCTGCAACTTTATGAATGGTCCTGATTCTTTGCTTTGACAAAAATCCTTTTTATTTAGCTATCATATTAATATAAGGTCTAGTTGTCCTACTCTACACTTGACAGCTGATAGTTCCAGGTTAGCATCTGTTTTAAATTATAGATCTCTATAAACTTGAGCCTATTCAAGTCAGGCACAAAGAACCAGGACCATTGTGTAGATTGCAGATTAACCAATTTATTGAAGCCTATACACAAGAATCTAGTCAACTAACAGTCAGCACTAACTGGCACTAGATAAGGGTCAATGGAATTCATAGGAAGGTGGAGTTGGATCTCTTGTACTGATGCAAGGACTCTAAACTGGTGTCATGTGTAACTCTGCCCCCTCCCCCCAGCTTTTCCTGCTCTTCTCCTGCATATGACGCATCTTTGGCACAGTTATATGTGTGTCCAAATGGAGTGTTCTCATAACCTGCGCCCACACATTTGTAGTACATTGGAAAGATTCTCAAGTGTACGGCTTGAGGTCAGAGTTGATTGCAGCTCCAGGCTTTGTATGCAACCCCAACCACTCTAAAACTTGCTATATGATTGCATCTACTTAATGAATACATAGGTAGTAAATATTTACTTTTGTTTTGATTTAATTTCATTAAATACAATTTTGTTTGTCCCTATAGCTTCCTTTTGATCTAAATGTTTAGATCAAATCTAATAAGATTCATGCTCTTGGTATGTGCTAATTTGGGAAGGGGATGGGAACATAACTTCTTTTAAATTTAAAGAATGAGAAAAAAAAATTGAAGACAAGAAAAGATTGTATTAAAGATTTACAACATAAGCAATTATGATGGAGTTTACAAAGAAAAAACACATTCCACTGTTATTCTTATAAGTCACTTTAGATTGGAACAGATATGAAGATAATGGCACAAGAGTTTAGCATTTTAATTTCTTTAACATTTTGTACAAAAAATTCTTCATTCTCATCTTTTATCTATTAGCAGATAATACTCATTAATCAATGAGCAAAAATCCATTCAGTTACTATACACACACACACAATCTTAAACAAGTAAACCAACTTATTTCCTTTCCTAATCAATCCAGTGATTTATAATTTTCTATAAAAATTCAACAACAAAAGTCCCTTCCCATATCATATCTCATTGCTATAAACAAATCCTTAAAGCCTTGTCATTCAGACTTAAGAAACATTTCATTAAAAGCTAGCAGAAACAACAACATATTGAAAAATCTTGATCTTTAATTCCTTCAAATACTGTCCCACAAATTTATCATTTTGTCTGTATTTCCTTTCAGAAAATCCTTTGGAAGTTTACCACTATCCTTCAATTTTAACACTATAGCTTACCACTTTCTCTATAAAATACAACCAAAAAATCTTCATACATTGACACTATCAGCTAGAAATCAGCTACTTAAAAGGAAGCAAGATTTTCAAAAGGAGGATCATAAAATTGATTATATATATTATATATACTCTCCTATTGAAAAGTGCCCTATTGAAAACAATTTTTTTATTTCTGTGATACGAATAGCATTCAAATGCTCTATATTAAGTTGTTGTTATTCTCTTTCCTTCCACTCATACTGTATTCTGTCTTTCTTCAGTTGGCAGTCAGTAGCAGTTATATGCAAGACTGAAATTATTGACTCTAAAGGCCGTTATTCTTGGCCAGAGGCCTAGTGCTAACTAAATGTCTTCCTTCTGACTTTTCCCAGTCTGTGTATATATTACCATGATCACAAGAGTCCATGTAAATTGTTTCCGAGATGCGAACAAAATTATTTGTGGGAGCGGGAAGTAGTGGAAACCGCAAGCATATAGAGCAGCGATGGCTAACCTTTTTCTAAAGGTGTGCCAAAATTGTGTGCGCGCACAAGTGCCCACCTATCTGCACATGCACGCATGACCCCACCCTGCACATGCGCACGCCTCCCCATGCATATGTGCATCCCCCCATGCAGGGGGAGTTTTTGCCCTCCCCAGGCTCTGGAGGCTTTCCTGAAGCCTGGGGAGGGCGCAAATAGCCCAACAAGAACAAATTTCCAGTTTGCCCATTGGACTGTTTTTCACCCTCCCCAGACTTCAGGAAAGCCTGCAGAGCCTGGGGAGGGCAAAAAACAGCCCAACGGGAAGTTCGGGAACAATATTCTGGTTGACCTGTTCGGCCTATTTTTTGCCCTCCTGATGCTCCGGAGGCTTTCCTAAGCCTGGGGAGGGCAAAAATGGCCTCTACGGCCTCCAGAAGGCCAAAATCAGTTGGCCGGCATGCACATATGCACCGGAGCTGAGGGCTGCCATGCAGGAAATATGGCTCCGCGTGCTACCTGTGGCACTCGTGCCACAGGAACGCCATCATAGATATAGAGAGTAGGTGGAATTTGATAATCCAGTTTGGCATAATATTACAGCCAAAGTAGAAATATTATTAAATAAAAATTCTGAACATAAGGTCCTGGTGCCAATGACCTGTACCTAAATTAGAGATCCAGATATCTTCTTCTGTCCTTGTGGATTCTGTAGCTAAACTGGAAGGAGGTGCTAAGAGAGGGGCGAGCTTGGAGTCCTTGCACTGCAGAAATCCCTGAAGCCTTATCTGACCAAGGGAATGCAATTAGTCTGGCAAGATTCTTGTAGCATAGGGGACTGAGAGTAAAGTTTCTGTTTGAGATTGTTCACAATTGGTTGCTTGTGCCTGACAGCCACTCTGTCATGCTCCTTTACCTGAAAATACACTGTTTTGCCTCCTGCAATCTTTCAATGTGGCTATCATGGCAAGATACAAATTGCAGGTACAATATTAAAAGATATCAGGGAAAATACATCAACAGCATTGCACCATGTCACATAGGGTAATAAAATACTTGATGATACTTCAGATCAAGACTTAATGTAATTTGCTTTGTTTGAACTTTGTGATTTGGGTGAATCCATCCATTATGGCTTTGTAGAAAAGCTAGAGCAAGGGTCTCCAAACCCCAGGTCATAACTCGGAACCAGGCCAGAGCCCATTAAGAACCGGGCCATGCAAACAGTGGGCAAGTGTGTGTTTGAAGTTGTATTAGTGCAAGCGGCATGCTTGTGCAAGACCATCCTCTTTCCTTCCCTGCCACCAGTCCGTGGAGTTAGAAAGGTTGGGGACCACTGAGCTGCTACAGTGTGCTAATGAATAAAACACCGGAAAATAGCAAGGAAAAAAGCAAAATGTTTGAATTTATACCGCTGCTCATTTCCTCTTCTGCAAAGAGAGCTGCTTTGCTGGCACAAAACTGTGATTATTCAGATCATATCAGAAATTCAGACCAATGCGTCATTTGCAGTATTCTTATTACTAAGCATGGGACTAATTGTTTAATATAAAGAATTATTTTCTGCAGAGCATTGTGGTCCACAACAAAGAATTTGAAAACACTTGTATGTATTCAAACATTCTGTAATTGGGCTTTGTTGTTCTCTGTTTACCTAAAAAGAAAACTAAAACATCCCTCACCCTAATATTTTCCCCTTAAAATATGAGAGCTATCTTTTATTGAGAATATAATAGTAGAAGCAGATAGGTTTTTCATCTTTCTTTTTGGGGTGGGAAGTCAACTTAAATTCACAATCATCCTTCTTTTGATAAATGTAGTAGTGTTTTGGGTTGCAGGGGTACAAGTGGCCTAAAACAAAACTTTTGTTAAAACTGGAACTGGTAACATTTAAAGCCACTATATGGACCTTATGACTTGCATATTTCCTATAGGTTGATGGAGAATAGCTCCTTGTCCTTTCCCTCTGCAAGATTGCCTCATTCGTCCTGTCTCTTATGAGGCTTGAGAGTGCATAGAGCAATAGAGCAAAGTGTAATTACAGCTGCTTTTAAAAGGTTGGCCTGGCAGTCCATTCCTGTTGTTGAAGTTAAGGTGGCCTTAAGCTGCCAGGAAGTGGTGGGTTTCAAAAAATTTTCGAACCTACTCTGTGGGTGTGGCCTCCTTTGTGGGAGT